TGCAGCTATAAAAGTTGATTCTAGAGCAGACTTCTGGAACCTAAACCTATGGACCCTCTTCTCCGTGATCACCCCGTCCAGCTCTTTTGCTTCATTATCATTGGGAGGGGTTTCCTTTCTCAGATCAGAGGCCCCTTTCTCATTTATCATTTTTACTCTTTCTTTCGATGTATTTCCCGTATAAACGCGCTTGTTGTCGCCCTATATCGCTCACTGTAGTCTTCATTCTTGACGAATTCACTTACTATTTTGCCTCCCATCGTTTCTAACTTCTTGAATGCATACTGAAGCTGAAGAGCTACGAGCTCGGTAAGGTGGACCTACAGCTCTTTGTGGTGACTGAATGATAGTTCTTAACTTTGACTCGATACCTTATGTTTCTTCGTTCATTTGTAGTCATCCTATTGCTCATATACATATATCCTGGTACTACGGCCACCCTCATCTCTACAGTTACTAGTATCTCTTGACTTTCAGAATAGGGGTGTGCTTGGGGAAATCGTGAAAGCTAGCAACTACGCTGAAAGCTAGCAACTAACGTGGCGCACATGCACCTACGAAGGCGGAATCAGGTGTCATTGTGGCGTGGTATGGGTGAAGCGTAAAGGCTGCAGATTAATTATAACTGTCTCAGCTCATGATACGGAGAGGTAGAGTGGACTGCAACGAACAACCCTGTATGATTTCCACGTCAAAAGGTGGTAAATTAGCGGCGGTAAAGCATAAGGTTGCTCAAGTGACTCCGCCCATAGATGTCTTGTCTGCTGTCTTGCTCGTTTGCACGCTCCCTCGCCGCTTTCTAAAGCTTCGCCCGATATCCACATCGATACCGATTCCCACAAAGGAGGGCCTCTTTGAAGTTTTTCTGATGGTTTCCTTTCATTTTTTTCTTCACAAGCGAGTCAACCAGTACATTCGCCTCTGTTTCTAACCCCGTCACCTACGAACTTTATGTTGGTTCCGTTGTACAAGACTATAATTAGTAGAGTATGAAGGTCGTCGTAAGAATCTCGTCAGGGGTCGGGGGCCAAATTTGGTCGCGAGTCATATTTGGCCGATGAAGACTGTATCTGGCCTTGAAAGAATTCGCAAGCCACGATGAAATTTTTTCGGTTAATGAACTTTAGAGACTTTCTCTTTTTTTTCTTTCCTTTTTTTAGAACTTTTTCATTCCATGCGCGCCACATATCCCTCACTGGTACTGCTAGTTGATTTTGTAGCTGATTGATGACAACTCGCCTCCCTCTCTACAAGGGTTTTTGAGGCGAGGATTTGGAAGAATTGTTGGAAACTGTGGAAAGCTGCGATAATTGAGGAATTTTGAGGTAGGGCGGGGGAAAAGGCTGCATTAGAGAGAAGAATTTGAGATGGTAGGGGCAAGGTCGTAATGATACCTCCATTTCACACATCACGATGCTGTATAATTAGCTTTGTTGTTATCGCATATTGCAATATTCTCTTAAGGGATGAAATTGTACGACTAACAGCAAGGATCAAGGAGCTCGAGAAGGCAGCGAACGTTCCGCGTACGGATTCGGAAACAATGACTGACGCAGTACAGGTACAACATACGGCCATGCTGATCCACTGCGTACATGCAGGGTGTCACAAAATATCTCAGCACATATAAATTGTCTACGAGATGTTAATAAGGTGTGAGTAAATCTGTGCTCATCAGTTATCACGGTATGTCTTGTCTGCTGTCTAACTCGTTTGCATGCTCTCTCGCTGCTCTTATCTGGTCTCTTCCATAAAATCCATATCGATTTATTGTCTCTCTCTTGACACAATAAGGCCCTTATTTGAAGCATTTCCAATGGGGCGTTTTTGACGTCTTCACGATGACTCCGCCTTCACGAGCAACTGAATTGGCACGTACACCTGTTTTTCTGAACCCGTTGCACACGGTCTTTTCGCCGGCTCATCACGAACCTTTGTCTGCCTTTAATTACTAGATCAGTACGCTAATTGCCCCAAAACATCTCGACGCTCCCCTCGCACATGATTAGCTCATTGAGGTTAATTACTTGTTTCAAAATATGATCCAATTGGGTGATCCTAGTCAACTTATATAATAGTCACCTAAAATTTTTGTGACACCTTGCATGTGTACCTAACTGTGCTGTTTACATATTTACTATCTTCTAGGATTTTCAGCACCCTCCAACAGTTTCTCAAAGTCCAACTACGCTTGATCCAGTTGATCCCAACCAAAGAACAGGTTCTTGAGCTTTGATTTTGCTGTTGATATATATACCTAAAATCCATGAGATGAGGTAGGCGTGGCTGGGTAAATCAACCAAACGGGCGCTGCCTGTACTTCCTGTGAGATATTTCCATTTTTAGACAGATGTGTTTATGACATAGTCCAACACAGAACAAGATGAAAATTGTCTAGTGTTGAAATATCCCCCGAGTAACCCGTGTACCATGTTCAAAAGCCACGCCTACTCTGTCTCAGGGATAAGGAGTGTATTTTCATATTATGGATTTTTCCGTAGTAGTATAGAAAGGGTGTGAAAAATCAGGTAAATGTTGCAGCACGATCTTCT